GGAGTCTATGGTGAGGCTTGTTGGGTACCTGCTCCTGGGACACAGGACTGGAAAATAGAGAAGATGTGTACCCAGCTTTTAGGTTGTTTGAAGACATGGAGTTACCAGGTCCACTTTTTAAGGGGTATTTTTGGAATCCTGAGATAGGACAGCATTGCTAGGGGCAGTTACCACTAGAGGAAAATGACATCTAAACCTATGCTTTTCTCCTAGGGTCACATAACTTTGGCTACTCCAGGAGTTGCCCTTTCTGGTCTAGGTTAAGAAAGGGTAAGAGGCAGTTCCCATGAGCCCCCAAGCTTTTGCAGGTGTTGTGTGATGGGGGTGGGTGGTGGTCAGGGTTTTCAGGACCTCAGGCCCCCTTTCCCAACACACGTACACAATCAGAATTTTACATTGAATGAGGAAAATACTAGCAGGATATTTTTCCCCCCAACAATGTCTAGAAGGGGGGTTCTTAGCATGGCTGTGTAAATCAATACCAAGTTATTCCTCTGAATTCAAAGGCTATTTATCCAGGTCTAATTTCTTTAGAATTAATGTGATAACTGAGCCCAACTTAGCAACCAAATCCAGCCAGGTCCTGCCTGAATTGAATGGTACTCCTACAGTCCGACGTGGCTGCTATAAATCCACCTCCAGCACCAAACACATTTCTAGGCTTACGTGGGTGTGCAAACACCCGCCCATAACTGCAGCTGAAGGGGACTCTGGAACCAAAAAAATACCCCATTTCTCCAACAGTGGCCTGGGACATGCCAACCCACAAAGGATGTTTGAGTTCTCTCAACAACATTGACAGAGGAAATACAAGCCCTAATGCTTCCACACCTTAAAAAGCAAAAGGCAGCTTATGCTTCAAATCCTGCCTCTTAAAAGTCTTAATGAATGTGACCCTCACCTACCACAGGCCTTAAAAGAGGCTTAGGCCTCCAACTCCTCCAATTGTTGGGTCTACTTCTATTTTTAATGACAAAGGATTGGCCTGCTTTCTATGCCCTCCTCCCACCCCCAAAGACCAGTGAAGTGTGCCCCTTTGGATGAAACAAAGGGGTAAGAGTTAGGGCCTGCCTGGCGCCTGGCCTGGAGCCCCTGCAGTTCATGTGCATTCTCTGCAAGGCCATGAGGAGCTCAGCAGTTCTTTCTCAAAATTGTTGGAAGACCTAGGTAGACTGGGGCTGATTCTAGGGTGGCCCTATACCCCTTGTCTCAACTCATCACCAGCACTTCCCATTACACCAAGTAAGGACCCAGAAGCCAAGATGCAGCCTTCAATGGTGAGAAATGACAGTGGAGACCCAGCCCCCTAGGCAGGCGGCCTTCCAGTGCAGAGCTTCTAGAACCTTGGCTGGTGGCAAAGACCACACATGGCAGTCAATTAAGCATGCCACCTGGACAAGCTGGTGGAGACAGGCTGGCTCTCAGTTCCTTATTCCTGGGGCTGATAGGGGAGGAAAAGGAAGCTCAAGCTTACAGGCTAGATTCCATTCCTGAGCTGCAAACAGCACTCTTCCAGCCAGGAGCCACCCCTCCATGGCTCCACACTCCTACTCCTGACTATCTGAGCCCAGCCTGGCTAACCTTGTAGGTCTCAACAGGGTCTTTTCCTCTTCACGCGGTGAAAATTTAGTAGAAAACAAATAAAAACCAAGTCTCTCTTACCCTCCTGTGTTCAGCGACCTGCAGGCAACCATTGTTGCCCGCTGTTTGTGAGTAATTCCAGATACTGCAAGCAAATGTAAAACAAGGTGGGGTTTTTTTCTTTTTTAACCTAAAGGTAACAATAACAAACTATATAAACAATTTTTCAGCAGGGTCTTCACCAAGTGCAACAACTGCCACCTGGGTGCAGCTGCACTCCTCCTCCCCCGGAACTCTGACTAGGAGGTAGGAGGGCCCCAAACTCCAAACCAGCACAATCTAGGCCTTGAGGCTCCCTTGGGCGTTAAGCAAACAAGAAAAATCCCTTTGCAAATAGAGGCTGCTAGCATACACTCAAGTACTCGAGTACCAGGACCTTACCCGGCCCTGCCATGACCCGCCCCGCTTGGGGTGCAGCCAGAGATGGGGGAAGCCGGTGAGAAAAGCAGTACACCTGCGAACAGAAAGGCAGACGTGCCCCGGGGAAGGGGGGACGCCTTCGCGGTGTTAACAGCAAGCTGCAGGGTATAAAGCAATAAAACTGCCACGTCTACCTACCGGCCTTGAGGGCTCAGCGCGCGCAGCCCGGCTCCACCGAGACGCGCGCCGCAGAACCTTCTCTTTTCCGGACCTTCCTTTCTTCCCCTCTCCAGCCCTCCGCACGCATCTCCCGCTTACACAGCCCACCTTTCATTTCCCTGGGACCTTTGTGGTGTTGTTTTAATTCACCGTATTTGGGAACGCGTGGATCGGGTTACTGGTTCGCGTGTTAAAGTGGACCTCTTGTTAAAAGCTGGGGAACAAGGCACACAACTTTTTTAAAAAAATTGATAATTCCGAGTTACTAAACCGGCTCCTCGAGGCTCCTTGAAGTAAAGCCGAGTCAGCGGGCAAAGGGAGGGGACGAGGGGCGCAAAAGACGCTGTCCGGGGAGGCCAAGAGAGAGGCTGCGGTGGTGAGGTCTCAATTTTATGATAAAGGGAGGAATGAAGGGGAAAAAGAAAATGACAAAGTGGCTTGGCGATGCCTGGAGATGCAGAAAAAAAATCAATTAGCATAAGCTACTGTCAGGGAGCTCCGAATAATATGCAAATATAGCCCGGGCAGCTTACTAAGCAGCCACCCTTTTGCCAGTTGCAGGAGCCAGAAGCGCCACTAAATTCTTCATTTCCCTGGTTTTCTGGATCGTGTAATTGATGGGGCCCAGGTAAAATAGAGTGCAAAGGAGTACCCCGTGGTTTTCTCAAAGGAAGCTCGAGGCTCGGCCCCACAATGCCTTGGCCCCGAGGTGCTAATAAGCTAGATTTTGCTCCGTGTGGCCAAGGGCTCGTGGGTTAGTTATCTGGACAGACCACCATAAACCCGCGCCTAGCCCTCGGGGGTCTACCCTGCCCAGCCGGTGTGGACCCCAAGGGCTGGGGCAGGTTCCCGGAGCCTTCCCAAATTCCCGGGACCCGATCCCCGGCGCGGCCCGGCTTGTCCACCCTGGTGCCCCGGGTCCGACTCTCCTACCTGGTGGCCGGGACTGAGCTGCGCCCCGAGACTCCGCTGTCGCTGCTCGCTGCCTGGACCTGAGTAGGTCTGGAGACTGGAGGGAGAAATACCAGATCCGCAGCCCTGGGCTGCTCCGAACTTAATGTCTTTCCCCAGTCCATCTTTGAAAGAGAAGTGGTTCTACCACCTGGATGTGCGGATATAAATCCCCTTGCAAATAATAAATGGATTAATAATAACAAGGTATGAAGTTCTTTTTATAGAAAAAAAGGAGAGAATTGAAACTAAATGCGGCAGTTAGACAACCATTTTGATAAGAGGATAATTGAGGCGACACTGGTGTATAATTAGAGGATAATTTATGCTATATCCACTTTTATTCCACCTCCCAAAATAAACCCAGTCCATAATCATTACAGGCAAATTGTTCTGAATTTTATAGCAGCAATTTGAACAAAGTACTGCAGTTAATCATGGGAGATTTTTGTGTATTCCTGATTAGAACTCTAATTGCCTCCTTCCAGAAAGTAAAAATAACTGTAAAACGACTCTATTTTTATCATTAACAATGTTGACAATAAAATAAAATCAATTGGAATTGTAATCGAGAGACAAATTTAGGACGAAGGCACTTTTACTTGGATAGTTTATATTGTAATCAAGATTTGCCAAACCACTAACCGCATGTATCATTTGCATATATTTGAAAGCATTACAGTAGCTTCTGTTTTCAATAGGAAAAAATGCATTACTGTCAGTCCTCCAACGATTCGCTTTCAGAACTGACTGCTGCGTTCTGAAAAAAAAAGATCCCCTGCTTTTTATTTATTTATTTTTTTCATTTAGTTCAATATATAGGAAAGAGTGCCTGAAACGGCAGGAATCTCTCCAGAAACAGGGTCTAGTTTTTCTTTTCCTTTATAATCTCCCCTTGGGGTGGAACCCAGGTGTGGGGGTCCCTCTTCTCACTGTGATTTCAATAAAGTGCGTCTAGAATGGTCCACGGTGGCAGGGCTTTCCCTTGGGAGTGAAGTAGGGCTGAGGGGAGGAGGAGGTCAAGGGAGGGGGCTGGGTTTTAAATGCAGGGGGCACTGTTCTGAGCATAGGCGACCAGCCACGGTGCAAGGGGACTTGAGAGGGCAAGCTCCCGTCTAGGCAGTTCCAGGGTTTGGTTCTTGGAACTGAAGCTCCGGGACCCGGGCGCGAGCCCTTGCAGGCGGCGTGCGCGGCTGAGGGCCGGAGGCACCTCCTCTGCCCCCGGCCCCCGGCGCAGTGCGGCGCGCCCGCGGCTGCAGCCGGGGCTGGGAGAGGAGTTGCTGTAGGTAGGCGAAGAACTCCGCCAGCGGCGCACACGCCAGTAGAAGCCGTGCGCCTGTGACGTCACGGGAAGACTGACCAATGGGGAGGCGCTGCCCTTTGGAGACAAACCATTCGACTCGTGGCGTCTGCATCAAGTCTGAAAGCAGACGCGCAACTTTCGCAGAATCCACCTTAAAATCTCTGCCTTAAACTGCACCAGCCCCCAAAAAATCCAAGGGGGGAAGGCAGGGGGGGAGAGCAGATTCCCCCCTCCCCCCTCTCTTCTCCCATCCCTCCCCCTTCCTCCTCCCTTTGAGTTAACAAGGCCCCGCTCACTATATCTCTTTATATTAAAATATATATATATTAGAGAAGAGCGAGGGAGAGGGAGAACAACCTCCGCCCTTTCTTTTCATTTTTTTAATTTTTATTTTATTTTTTATTTAATTTTTTTTTCCCAAGGATCCCAAGAGCTAAGGTGGCTGCAGAGGGGTGAGCGGAGCGAGCCAAGTGGGGGAGGGTGGAGGAAAACCGGGAGAAGGCTTTCTCCAGCCCCCAAAGTTTTGATGATGACCATGACTACGATGGCTGACGGTTTGGAAGGCCAGGACTCGTCCAAATCCGCCTTCATGGAGTTCGGGCAGCAGCAACAGCAGCAGC